TTTTGGACGCTGTGACACCTCGCGACTGGCCCCGTCCAGGTCCAGGGGAGGGGGCGGGGGGACGGGTCAAGACCGCCTCCCCTCTCGCAAGCCGCTTCGCTCATCCCCACCCGCCCTCCCACGCACATAGCACCCGAGCCGCAGCATATGCAGCAGTCGCCTCTGGACGGGCAGCCACTGGGGGCCAATCCGCCTCCGCGGCCGCCGCCGCCGCCGACCGCCGCCGCCGGTGCCGCGACGCCGCCGGCGCCGCCGCCGCTGTCCGCCGCCGCCGCCGCCACCGCGCCGCCCGCCACCGCCGCCGCCGCCGCCACCGCCGCCGCCGCAGCCCCCGCTGCCAAATCGCCGCCGCCGCAGTCGCTGCCGCCGCAGTCGCTGCCGCCACCGCTGCCGCCGTCGCCGCCGCCACCGCCGCCGCCGCCGCCGCCGCCCCCGCCGCCGCCACTCCCGCAGCCGCCGCAGCCGCTATCCCCGCCGCAGCCGCCGCCGTCGCCGCCAAGTGTACTCTGTATTGTTTTTTCCGGAAAGGGCATAGGCCCAGGGTTCTTTTTTCCTATGTAAACAATGTCTCCGTGCCCAACTTGAAGGAGGCCGGCGGATTCTTTCCCTGATAAATATCGAGGTCGAAGGAGGCCGGCTGATTAAAATTTGAGGATGTCTCAGGCGAAACGCTTGTTTTTGAAATCCCGATCGATGAATCACAGGGTGCGGGACACCTCAGCACGACCACACCCCAGCACGACCACACCCCAGCACGACCACGCCCCAGCACGACCACACGCCAGCACGACCACACCCCAGCACGACCACACCCCAGCACGACCACACCCCAACACGACCACACCCCACCACGATCACACCCCACCACGACCACACCCCAGCACGACCCGATCGATGAATCACAGGGTGCGGACCACCCCAGCACGACCACACCCCAGCACGACCCCACCCCAGCACGACCCCACCCCAGCACGACCACGCCCCAGCACGACCACACCCCAGCACGACCACACCCCAGCACGACCACACCCCAGCACGACCCCACCCCAGCACTACCCCACCCAAGCACGACCACACCCCAGCACGACCACACCCCAGCACGACCAACCCCAGCACGACCCCACCCCAGCACGACCACCCCAGCACGACCACACCCCAGCACGACCACACCCCAGCACGACCACCACCCCAGCACGACGACACCCCAACACACCCACCCCACCACGATCACACCCCACCCCGACCACACCCCAGCACGACCCGATCGATTAATCACAGGGTGCGGACACCAGCACGACCACACCCCAGCATGACCACACCCCAGCACGACCACGCCCCAGCACGACCACGCCCCAGCACGACCACGCCCCAGCACGACCACACCCCAGCACGACCACACCCCAGCACGACCACACCCCAGCACGACCACACCCCAGCACGACCCGATCGATAAATCACAGGGTGCGGAGCACCCCAGCACGAACCCACCCCAGCACGACCCCACCCCAGCACGACCACACCCCAGCACGACCACGCCCCAGCACGACCACACCCCAGCACGACCACACCCCAGCACGACCACACCCCAGCACGACCACACCCCAACACGACCACACCCCACCACGATCACACCCCACCACGACCACACCCCAGCACGACCCGATCGATGAATCACAGGGTGCGGACCACCCCAGCACGACCCTACCCCACCACGACCACACCCCAGCACGACCCGACCCCAGCACGACCCTACCCCAGCAAGACCACACCCCAGCACGACCACACCCCAGCACGACCTCACCACAGCACGACCACACCCCAGCACGACCACGCCCCAGCACGACCACGCCCCAGCACGACCACGCCCCAGCACAACCACCCCCCAGCACGACCACCCCCCCAGCACTACCACACCCCAGCACGACCACCCCCCAGCACGACCACACCCCAGCACGACCACTCCCCAGCACGACCACACCCCAGCACGACCACACCACCAGCACGACCACACCCAGCACGACCCCACCCCCAACGACCAACACCCCAGCCACCGACCCCACCAAGCTAAACGACCACACCATCAGCACGACCACACCCCAGCAACGACCTCACCACAGCACGTCCACACCCATCACGTACCACGCCCCAGCACGACAACGCCCAGCATCGAAACCACGCCCCAGCACGACCACGCCCCAGCACGACCACTCCCCCAGCACGACCACCCCCCAGCACGACCACACCCCAGCACGACCACACCCCAGCACGACCACTCCCCAGCACGACCACACCCCAGCACGACCACACCCCAGCACGACCACACCCAGTCGCACCCCCGTGGAATGTTTCGTGGCGTGTCTGGTTGAGTGGTTGCCTGTTCGTGGGGTGTCTCGTGGAATGTTTCACGGGGTGTCTCGTGGAATGTTTCTGAGGTGTCTCGTGGGATGTTTCGTGAAGGTGTCTCGTGGGAGGTTTTCGTGAGACGTTTGCCCCGTGGGTAAATCGTGAAAACGTGCCCATGCTCCACATGTCTATAACCCTTCCGGGTTCGTGGGTCATCATGTTTGACTGGGATGGTGGGGGGAGGCCGCATCGGGTTCGCTGCGCATGCTCAGAATTTGGTAACAAAGTGTGCTTCGCTGGGGGTTTTACACGGGGTGGTGGGGGCAGAGTGTGTTTCGCATTGTTTTTTACAGAGGGATGGCGGGGGGGCCCGCATGGACCTGGGTTGGCTCCCAGTCGCCTGGGGCAAGTGTATACTGATAGGGAACAGTGATCAAGACATTTTCTCCGCACGCAAGCCGTCCAGCTCATTCCCCCACACAAGTGGCATCCGAGTCTCGGCATACCCATGGGTCGCCACTGGATGGACAGCCAGTGGGAACCAAAGCGGACGCCAGGTGCGCGACGCTCGCCGCGGGTTTCACATGCGGTTGGTGTGTCATTCTTGTTCAAAAAGTGATGCCCTCCCGCCCGCATGGTCCAGATGTTGATGTTGATGATGTGGGGAGCATCAGCATTGTTCTGGGCCTGCGCACAGCACGCACCATCATGCGGGCACCACCGCCGTCCCTACCAAAAAAACAATACAAAGCGATCGCGGGTGGCCAGCACAATACCCATGACATTGTCGCAACGTGCGCTGTGCACTGTTTTTGACACGGACTGTGGTCCTGCACGAAGCGGCTTCACTAAGGGTGCCCCGCCATCCCTGTCAAAACACCATACAACGTGCTCACAGGGCGCCAGCGCACTATCCAGATGTTGCTGCAATGTGCATGTCGTATTGTTTTGTGGACAGGGATTGTGGAGGGTGTTGGCAGGGTGGGCCCCGCAATGTGGATGTTGGATTGTTTTGTGACAGTGATGGTGGGGGGGGGCTCATGGTGTGTGCATGATTCCGGGTTGGCTTCCGGCCGGGTGGGGAGGGGGTGTTTTCTCATAGGGAACAATGATAAACCCCTCCCCGAACCGCAGGAGGGGCAGATGAAAGACAAAACATCCTAGACAAGCTACGCCCTAAAGGACTGGTGGGATTCCTCCTTGGAGAAGGCACCAGGGTCCAGGACACGTTTTCCTCAGGACCCGTTTCCCCCTTATGCTAAACAGGGCACGTGCCGATACCACCCGGTTGGTGTTCTGGCTATTATCCGTTAGGGCTTCGCCCCCTGCCGCCGGCCCCCTTCTCTCGGAGAATGGGCCATGGAAGAGCTAAGTCATGAGGCTTTGGCGCTGTCGTGCAGCAGTATCGGAACTTCATGCGAGGCCGATTCGCAATCGGCAAAACCAACTGATCACAAGAGGGGTTACCACACAGGGCGATTGGTAAGACGTGTATGGTTTACGAGCTTGGTTACCACACCTTGGGATTAAAGGGCCGAGGGAGTACTCGCAGTTTGGGTTACCACGCCTTGCGATGGATGTGCGTGAGGGGTGGCACAGAATTTCAGAAATGTGGCAAATCCCATGTGTTTTTGGACCCTGACCCCGCGGATCTGCGTGAGGGGTGGCACCGAATTTCAGAAATGTGGCAAATCCCCTGTGTTTTTGGACCCTGACCCCGCGGATCTGCGTGAGGGGTGGCACCGAATTTCAGAAATGTGGCAAATCCCATGTGTTTTTGGACCCTGACCCCGCGGATCTGCGTGAGGGGTGGCACCGAATTTCAGAAATGTGGCAAATCCCTGTGTTTTTGGACCCTGACCCCGCGGATCTGCGTGAGGGGTGGCACCGAATTTCAGAAATGTGGCAAATCCCATTTGTTTTTGGACCCTGACCCCGCGGATCTGCGTGAGGGGTGGCACCGAATTTCAGAAATGTGGCAAATCCCATGTGTTTTTGGACCCTGACCCCGCGGATCTGCGTGAGGGGTGGCACCGAATTTCAGAAATGTGGCAAATCCCTTGTGTTTTTGGACCCTGACCCCGCGGATCTGCGTGAGGGGTGTCGATTTCGAGCCCCCCCAGCAATTCAGACAACGCGCCCAGGGGGTGCTAAAAATCCCGTTTGGGCCTCCCCCCCCTCGCGCGGTCAATCAACTAGTTACAGTAACCAGCAAGAAGCAGAACTGTAACACTGGAAACTACAAGCTACAACTGGTACTGGAAACTGCGAACCCGTGCCTCGCAGCCTGGTGGCCCCACAAGGGGGCCGGCGGATTCTCTAGTTGGTACCCTGGCTGGCACCATGGCTGGAGCCCCGGTTGGTGCTCTTAGCAAGTGCCTTAGCTGGCGCCCTGGCTGATGCCCAAGCTGGCACCCTAGAGGTTTTTCCTAGCGAGCACTACCTAACTAGTACCCAGAAGTGGTACTCTGGCTTGCGTTGGTACCCCGGTTGGTACTCTAGACAGTACCCTAGTTGGTAATCGCCACCATCGCGTCGGTTCTGCCTTTGTGGGCCTCTTGGAAGGCCCTCGCCGCCGCGACCAGAGTCGCCGCAAGATCCTGGTCAGAGCGCACCCCCGCAGAGGTCCTGGGATCGGTAGCTCTTGGACCCCCCAG